GGTGACAAGTGGCAGGATTCTGAAATGAAAAGTGCATCACTTCCAATCCAGGAAAACCACCTTTGTTCTGCTTGCTTCTTGTTTCTGACTTCCTGTGTCCCTTGGTAACCATTCACCCTAATACACATGTGTCTGCTGAGGCTGGGTGGACTCTAGTGGCTGTTTAGGAAGCTGTGCCACTAGGTGATTAATCTTCTCGAGTGGCCCTAATAAACTCTAGGTAGATACAGTGTCACATCTAGGTGTCATCCATCCCTGAGTTTTGAGTTCAAGACCTCAGGTGAAAAAGGAGATGTTTGGACCAAAGTGCTGTATTTGCATTTTCCACAGATATGCTTGCATTTTCCACTCACTTTCTTTTAGTTGTCTCATGTGAAGGAGAGAAAACCAAGGCCTTGGGTTACCCAAGAAACCTCAGAGCAGGGAGTACTGGCCCAAACTAAGGGGGCCCCAGGCAGCTGAATGTGGTGGTTCTGAGGACTGGCTTTAGAGCCAGACTGGCCTCAGTTTGAATCTGAACTCTACCCTCAACACCTGTGTGACCAGTAAAACACTGATACAATAGTTTTACAAAATGGTAATGGGATCAAGTCAGTAAAGTATACAGGATGGGGTATGGTGGGTAAGAAATGCTTAATAAATTTTTAACTATTGGAACTATCATTGTCATCGTTTTTGTCTGTCCTTGAAACTTGAAAGATGATGATAAACTGTTAGTCATGACTTCAATAAAGAGTGACCATTTAACTTGTTAGATTTTTATAAGGGTGTTATACCTATAGAGAAAGGATGAGAAGTAGCAACTGGATTTCCAAAAAGTCTTGTGGAGTTTAAACATTGAAGGTAAATCAAGAATGGCCTCTGTAGAATTGTGACCTCACACTTGGGGGAGCGATGGTAGAACCTCCTAATGAGCCCATATAGGCTCTTCTCATCTATGCAGGAACTCTCCTGCCCCTTTGCAAACACCCACACCTATCTATGGAGTGGGGTGACAGCAATACTCTTTGGCGCTCTTTTTCTCCCTTTGGGAAAATAGTTTGGTGGGAGCTTTACATGGGACATTGCATGATAATGTCCAGAGACATGGCTACTGCCCCCACTGACTTCTGGCCAGCCAGCTCCACGCATCACAGTCTCTGCTGTCTGCCTTTCATGTCTGCATCAGGGTACGACTGAAGTAGAAGATGGCCTTTTAAAAGGCCATAACCAGTCTGAATGCAATGCAATGCCATTGGCTTGTGTGGACCCTGCTGTCATCTAAAAGAAAAGGTCACCTAGCAGAATGGAGGAGAGTACATGAGCCAGGTCACTCAGTCCAATCCCAGCTTGGCCCTTTGTATCTGTGTGACTTCAGGCAAGTTGATTTCACTTCTCTATAGAATGGAGATAACACCACTACCTACCTCACAGGGCTGTTGTGAGGATTAAGTGAGCTAATGGGTGTAAAGCCTTCTGAACAGGGTCTGGCATAGGACAAGTGCCATGTTAGTGTTTGCTGTTATTACTGTTGCCCAGGGAGGGCATAATGAACTGTTACCAGACATGGCTTGGCATTTGCCTCTGTTCTGGGTGGCCCTGGGGTTTGTACATTAGCACTGACATATGTAAGTCATGAGGTACCATCCCTGAGCCAGCCAGAGTGTCATTGGAAGAGGCCTCTGGGGTGGTTAAAATTGAGCTGTGGTTCAAGTGTCACTGGAGACAGCTAGAGATTTGTCTCTCTTCAGCATTATGAAGAAATCTTGTTTGGTGTTGGGCTGAAGCTACACCCTTTTACCTTCTGGGTAAAAGGATCATTATGGGTGAAGAAGCCCAGGCCTTCTTGGGAGAACCCTAGCTCCCTGGTCTTGTAGGAAGCCAAGGACAATGCCCCAGCTCTGGGTGGGACTGGCACCACCACCACCCCCAGCCCTGCAGACTGAGGGAGACCCAGAAGGGCAGTGGACTCAAGGCAATGAGGCACCAGGAGTGTGAAATCAAACAGAATAGATGATTGGCTCTTCTCAATTTAGACTGATTGATAGGCTTAGATTAGTTTGCAGTAGGAGAGGCTGCTGGCCAGCAGGAGGACATGGGTAGAAAGAAGCAGGAGTCACTGGGAAGAGCACCCTGTTGTGCCTCATCATGTGTCCTCCCAGTCTCATTTGCAAACCAAGGGAATGGAATGGACACTACTTTTCTGAGTTCTGAGACTCCAGGATGCCAAATGGTAAATCTTGACCACTACCACTGCTGCTTCTGTAGGAAAGACAAGGCAATGCCTGCCTGTCCTTCAGCCTTGCCCAACTCTGAAAAAGCAGCACCAATTTTTAAAACTAGCTCTCCCAAAACATTCATATTATAGTTATATTTTCCAGCATTTTTGTCAGGTCTTCTTGATTTTTTTTTTAACTAAATTTGCAGCCTAAAAGTTCCAGAGGAACAGGAAAGTGTGTTTAATTCTTAATTCTTTAAGAAGAGAACAAATTCAGTGCCCTCCTTTGTGACCAAAAAAAAAAAAAAATCTCTTTACTCACATCCTTTCAGGTCTTATCCTAACTCCTTCTGGGATTTGGGGCAAATCCTTCTCTTTGGGGCTGCTTCCACTGCTATAAAACAATGACTGTGGCCCTCTCCAGATCATTTCAAAGATCATAACCAGTGCTAGGCTTGTATCATTCTTCAAAAGATTTCAAATCTTGAAAGATCACAGTCTGGGATAAGGCTCAGGAGAGTCTATAGTGAATCAGCCTGTCCTCTCCACAATTGCCATGGCTTTGATTTCTACAGCAATATTGACAGACATGATCCTTGCATGGGTCAGGGAAGGACAGAATAGAAGCAGAGAATGTAAGCAGGCAATTTCCTCCTGTTAAGCAGGCCCTGGAGGAGAGACCAGCTTGCCACATTTGATTTGGAATTTGCAGACATGAGGATTTCCCAGAAGTCCCTTGTTGCTAGCATTTATTAAAAAGCTAACTACCAATTGCTGTCAAGTTGATACCAGCTCAAGGCAATCACCCCCATGTGTGTCAGAGTACAACTGTGCTCCATAGGGTTTTTCATGGTTGATTTTTTCTGAAGCAGGTCACCTTGGATGGGTTTCTGTCAGACCTTTCTCTGATAAGAGAAAACTGGGAATATTCATGCCAAGGCATACAGGCGCTTCCAAAAAGGGAACTGAGAGGGGCCCTTGATGCTTTTCCTAATGTTAAATCTGGGAAAAGCTCATTTCTGAGAGTAGGTGAAGCTGTATTATCATTTATAAAGAGCTGTATGTGTCAGACAGTATGATAGGCTCCAGGATTACAAGGTTGACATGGTTCCTGCCTTTGGTGCTTATGGATGAGAGGAGAGATAAACTCTAATATACATGTATTTCCGAACTGCAGATGATATGAAGGGAAGAGCCTGGGTTCTTCTTTTCGGGGGTGGGGAGGCTACCTGTTTTACTCAAGAGGGTCAGAGGAAGCCACTTTGGAAAGAGACTTGAAGGCCTGGTAAGACATTGGCAGATGAAGAACGGGATAAAAGGCTGCAGGACCTGTGTGCATGGACTCTGAGGCAGGAAAGATGAATTGGGTGAGTTGGAATTGAATGAAGGATGCAATCTGGATGAGGAGTGAGAGCCCTATGATGAGATGGAAGAGGAAGGTAGAGGCCAGATTGTGGGGAGCCTTGGAAGGATTTCAAGTTTTGCTGTCATGAGAAGTTACTGAAAGGTTTAAAACACGAGAACCGCAGGATCTGGCTGTGGGTGGAAAATAGAAGGAAGAGGTAAAAGTAGAATTGGGGATTGAAAGTCCAAGCTAGAGGGGATGGCTGCTTGGCCTAGGTGAAGGGTGATAGAACTCACAAGACTGGCCATGGGAGGTATGGAGAACAAGAGGTGAGGGTCAATAATGAACGCTGGCTTTGTTTCTTTTTTTATTATTATTTTTTCTTTTTTTATTATTTATTGTGATTTGGGTGAAAATTTACAGAGCAAATTCACTTTCTATACAGCAGTTCACATATACTTTGTCTCATGTCATTGACCACAGTTTACCACAATGCAACAGCTCCCCTCCCACTTCCTCCCCATAGTTACCTCTTCCCAGAGTCCATCCCTCCATACTCTCCTGCCACCTGAGCTGTCTCCCTGTGCTTAAGCAGCCCTTCCTTCTCCCGTGATTGTTCTCTCCAGGGCATGTGTCTACTTGAGGTAAATGTTTAACTCACATGCCTGTACTTTGTTTGGCTGGAAACCACAGGTGTGGGTTCAATTCCAGACCTGAAGGGCAGCTAGGGGCCACAGTCTCTGGTTCCATCAGGCTCTATTGGACCAGCAAACCTGTTCCCCACCATCTTTTTTTTTCTTTCCTCCAAATGATTTTGAGTTTTGTTCCACATTGTTCTCCATCTCTATCCAGGATCTCCTACATCCCTTCCAAGTGGATGACAGTGGTAGCCGGGCACCATTTAGTTCTTCTAGTCTCATGGTTGTATAGGTTGCAGATCAAATGGTGTACCAGTTGCGAGGACTGATTGTTTCCATGAATTTTGGTTTTCTTCTTTGCTCTTGACGAGGAGAGACCCATTGTTGCATCTAGATGGCAGCTTGCTAGCTTTTAAGATCCCAGTCGCTACTCACCAAAGTAGGAGGTGGAACAATGTTTTGTATAGTATGTTATGCCAATTGAGCTTGATTGAACGCTGGCTTTGGGATCTTGCATTGGCATTTAGATCCAACCTGTCTGAAAGAACTGTCCTCTTCCCTAATATGTTTTTCCCTTGGTCTTCATTGTTTTCTATCCATCTATTTTCTCAAGCCAGAAGTAAAATAAAAATTCTATTTTCATTTTCAGTTTTTAAAAGAGAAAATCCTGCCATAGATTACTATTAATTGGCCTTTAATAAATTTCTGTACTAAACAGATTTTATTCTTTTGCAGGGACCAGTGGTATTCCATGATACAGGCCTGTACTATAATTCATGTAACCTACATGTCTCCACTCTTGTTTTCCCCCTGCTTTCAGGTTGACCAGTATCTCTATGACATGCGTCTCTCTGATGAGACCCTTCAGGAGATCTCTAAGCGGTTCCGCAAGGAGATGGAGAAAGGACTCGGAGCTACCACCCACCCCACAGCTTCAGTGAAAATGCTGCCCACCTTTGTGAGGTCTACTCCGGATGGGACAGGTATTGCACCTGTGGGTATGGCTCTGGGTGCTCCATTACTGGAAGGTAGTTGGTTTGAGTGGCTTTACTCTGGGACCCAATGAACTGTGCGTCTGTGAAGGTTCTTTGGATTCAAGACTCAGCAACCAACCCTGGCTAATGTAAGCATACAGGAGGTGGAGACATTCCCAAAGAAGGAGACAAAACTAAGTTGTATCAGATCTTTCACATAGTTTATTTCATTTAATCTACACAATAACTCTTTATTTTAGAGATGAAGCACCTGTAGGGACTACGATGTGTCAGGGTTATGGGACTCACACCTGGAGGGTTGTAGAAAAAGCTCAAGGGGCAGCTATCAGGACAGTGGAAGGACCAGGAAACATAGAGTTCCAGGACCTGAGAGAGGAGAGAGCTCCAAAAAGCTGGTGGTCACTGGTGAGACATCTGCAGCGAGGTCACGGGAATAGGCCTGGAAGAGGGCAGGGATGGAGTTTGTTCATGTACTCACATGCCTTCACTATTTCCATAACTCTGTGTCCTTGCAGCTGACCTGCCTTAGAGCTTCTAGGGGTGGGGAGGCCTGGCTTGTTAAGTTAAACCTGTATGGTTCCTAAAATAAGTATGTGCTCGTTGAAGCCTTGGCACACAGTCTGGACCCAGAACTGAGGGTGTGATCACTTTGTTCAGCCCTTTAAAGAGCCCCTTAAGGAGAGAGGCCTCCGAGTTCTTGAGTTATCCCTCTTGATGACCTTAGATTTGCAGTTAGTGTACCTGCCACTCCATCTGACTACCACACCCCTTTCCATTGTTCCTGTTAGACTTTATGATAAAATTACTAGCTTCTTAAGGTCAGAAGCTTTGTCTTTATTTCCCACTGCACTAGCACTAATCAGGTACCCTAAGTATTTGCTAGATACATAACATGACTGCTCTGAGTGCTTACACGTATTAAATCCTTCTCACAAAAGCCTGTAAAGTAGGTAAACATTTTATCCACATTTTTCGGACATAGAATTTGAGGCTTGGGTGGTCAAATAATTTGCCCAAGGCCACCTAGCTAATGTGAGGCAGAGTTAGGATTCTAACAGGATATGTCAAATTTCAGGCATCAAGACTACACCTGTACAATTGTGTGCATGTAAGTGTGCACTCAGCACTGGGGCTCATAAGGATGGGGTTGGGTATTGACATCTGTATTGTAGGTAGTTGGATATGTTCATCAAGGAGAACTAACTATGGGACAAGCTTATTTTATTCTTGTTGCTTCCTGGAGATTGGTGGCACAGAGACCTTTCCCTGCCCCTTGAGGTTTGCATGGGTTGCTGCCCTGTCTGGTTGGTTGAGTCTCCTTCCTTGACCTCAGGGTGTAATCCTGGGAGCCTGTCTTCTCACAAGCCTTGCCCCAATTTGGAGCCAGCAAGTGTACTTTTGCTCATCGTCAATGTTGAGTTGGCCTGGACTGAGGGCAGGGAGCCAGAGTTTAATAGCTGCAGCATTCTGGGGTGGGAGGGTATGGGGCAAGATTTATCTGTCTGACTTCCTTTCTGTGTAGAAACTGGAGGTTTTTGACAGCTTTTGTGATAACCAGATTGCCTCTTTAACCTCAAATTCTACAGGGTAAGTGAAGATAGTGCATGAAAGGAGTACTGGGTGGTGGAATGTTTTATTTACTTAAGCAAAGCAAGCACAGCCTGGAGTAGTGGAGGAAATGGGCACTCAGCCCCCTTCACCTCTCACTTGCTGGAGGGTGGGGATGGTCATCTCCTTTCCTCTGCTTTCCTTAAAGGAGCTAAACCAAACAAAACCAAACCTACTGCCATCAAGTCGATTCTGACTCATAGTGACCCGCATTGGGTTTCTAAGGTGGTAAATCTTTACCAAAGTAGGTTGCCTCATCTTCCTTCTGCAGAGTGGCTGGTGGGATTGAACTGTCAAGCTTCTGGTTAGCAGTCAAATGCTGAGGGTATTTTGCCACCCGAACTCACTGCTGTGGAGTCAGATCTGACTCATAGCGACCCCTCCTTGAGTTTCTGAGGTAGTATCACTCTGAAAGTAGATTGCCCAACCTTCCTTCCGAGGAGTGGCCAGTGGCTTTGAACTGCCAGCCTTCTGGTTAGCAGTCAAATGCCTTAGGCACTGTGCTACCAGAGCTCCCACTTTGCCACCAGAGCTAGCTTTTGTCAGCTAGGTTTGATCCAGCAGTCCTGGTCTATTTTGCACATGTACTGGAACTAGTGTGCTATCTTATTTATACACAAAGCACTGGTCAATTAATGTTTAAATGATACAATCTTCTGCAACCTATTATAAAGCATGAGGTAGAATATTTGAAACAGGATCTCATTTTGTCTGTATATATATTCATACATCTGTAAATTTGTTCTTTGAAATACTGTCCAAAAACCAAACTCACTGCAGTCAAGTCTATCTGGACTCACAGCAACCCCTCCTTGGGTTTCTGAGGCAGTATCTTTACGGAAGTAGATTGCCTAATCTTCCTTTTGAGGAGTGGCTGGTAGGTTTGAATAGCCAGCCTCTGGTTAGCAGTCAAATGCCTTAGATGGGGTATAAAAATCTCTTAAAGTCCATTTGCTGGGCACTGGTCAATTAATGTTTACATGATATAATCTTCTGCAACCTATTATAAAGCATGAGGTAGAATATTTGAAACAAGATCTCATTTTGTCTATATACATACTCATACATCTATAAATTTGTATATGTATATATGTGTATATTTATGTGTATAAAGTCTCAAGGCCATGATCAAACTATTAATAGTGGTTATCCTGTGACATGAGGTTAGCAATATCTAGTAAAGTTGAAAATGTATGTATGCAACAATGCAGCAATTCCACTTCAACTTTAAACCCTGAAGAAATCCCATGAGTCCCAGGAGACATGTCCAAGAAAGTTCATAAGAGTGTTGCTTGTAAGGACAGCATATTGGAAACGGTTCATGGTATATTCATGTGATAAAATATTATACATCACTTCACATAAATGGACATCTACATACATTAATATGGATACATCTGAAAAACAATGATTGAAAAAAGTTCTAGAAAGTCATGTACTTCACAGTAGTTGGATACAAATTTGAAAACAATCTCAAGGCAATGCTATACATTATTTATGGACACACACCCACATGTTATAATATTATTAGAATATAAACTGGAAAATAAACACCAAATAAATGATAGAGGTTGCTTTTGGGGAGGGAGAAAGGAAGATGGAACTGGAGAGGGAAACACAAATTTAATTTAGAGTAGTACACATCAAGGCTTTCAAGTTTATGTTTTGACAGTTGGGGTGAGTTACAGAACATGGCAGAGAATTGGTGAATGTTAAATAGATAAAGCTGCCAAAAACTAGGAGTGCCTGGGTGGTGCAAACTGCAAGGTTGGAGGTTCGAGTCTACCCAAATTCACCTTGGAAGACAGGACTGATGATTTACTTCTAAAAATTGGCCATTGAAAACCTTATGGAGCAGTTTTACTTTGACACACATGAGGTTGCTATGAGTCTGAGTCTATTAGACGGCACTTGGTAAGTAAGCGAAAGCTAAATTCTCCGTTTCTCCATTGCTGTTGACAACCCCCCACCCCCACTCACATAAAATGCAGAACAGAGAGGCTGAGGTGCAGCTCTGCAGACAGGATTGCTGCCTTTCCCTTCTATAAGGTCACCCACAGCCCATGGGGCCTTGCTGAGCATCCTGCTTTCTGGCTGAGGCCACTGTCTGGGCCCCTGTTGCTGCTACTTGTGCTTATATTTCTTGCTCCACAGAAGGCTTGAGGCCTTTGCTCCTGGGGTGTCTGGTCACTCTGGCCTGCCTCAGAACTGTGGACCCTTCTTGTTTCTCAGCATCTTCCTTACCATCATTAGTTTTCATACCTAAGAGATTAAACCTCAGATCTAAACCTCTGATCATGAGGTACCTAATCCACAATTGGTAGCTTTCTAGCTTTCTGGACTACATACAGCAAGAAACAGGTACATTTAAAAATTTAAATACTGATTGATATATAAGTGAAACAGAAGCTTCAGGGACCAATGTTTATCTTTTTTTATTTTTGAAAGCCATTAAAGTTTTAATTTTGATGTTATTTTTGTAATGTTTGCCCTCAAATATGATTCAGTCATAGCTGTTCTCTTCAATCCTTTAAAAAAGTTGCAAGTCCAAAGCAAACCCACTGTTGTCAAAAGGATTCTGACTCATAGCAACCCTATAGGACCCCATAGCATTTCTAAATCTATAAATCTTTACAGAAGCAGACTGCCACATCTTTTCCTGCAGATCAGCTGGTGGGTTTGAACTACTGACCTTTTAGTTAGCAGCCAAATGCTTTAAACGTGATGTCACCAGAGCTCCTATTTGCAAATATATCCAAACCAAAATCCACTGCCATCAAGTCATTTCCAACTCATGCAACTCCCACTGGGTTTCCAATGTGGTAAATCTTTACTGAAGTAGATTGCCCCATCTTCTTCTTTAGAGCAGCTGGTTAGCAGTCAGATGCCTTAGGCACTGTGCTACCAGTTGCAAGTAAGGGCTCACTAAATTTTTTTAACAGGTAATTACCTCATTTAAAAATCTACCTACTAGCCACTCCTCAGAAGGAAGGTTGAGCAATCTACTTCCATAGTGATACTGCCTCAGAAACCCAAAGAGAGGTTGCTGTGAGTTGAAATCGACTTGACAGCAGTGAGTTTGGTTTTTTCATTTTAGCCAAACTTAAGTTCCTAGAGAGTAGTGAATGATGATGATGATGATGATGATGATGTTGATGACAGTTAAAAATGTATGCTTATTAAATGTCAGGTACTGTGCTGATCACTTTATTGGAGCTATCTCATTAATTCTCACAATGATTTGATGGTAGATTCCATGATTTCCATTTTACAGAAAAAGAAATTAGATTTAGAGAGATTAAGTAACTTGCCCAAAGTCGCAATGAACAAGTGATAATGTTGAGATTTGAACCCAGGCAGCTGTCTGCTGGAGCCTGGAC